CCACTTCGTGCCGGGGCATTTTTCAATGTTGATGATGCTTGGCCATGTTGGCCGGCATGACTGTCATTTTTTCCGTTTTCAAAATCCTTCAAAAATTCATCATTTCATTTGATTGTGCGGTGTTATATAACTGTCTTTTGTTCATGAACCTGGCTCAGTGCACTGCTGACCTTTTTTCAATAGGGGCCAGATTAGCGTGCAGTGGTGCTGTACATGTATGGCTCATTGCTGTGGTGGTGGAGCGCTTTTGTCCCCGGTGGTAATCCGCTTGCTCTCAATGCCCCAAACCCTGGTATACAGTTTCAAAATAACGCTGGATTGTCACCACTTTTGAGAGTGAAAAATGCCAGTAATGCCCAGCAGCCTGGTCTTTTGTTCGGAGTACGGTCTTTTGTTACAGGGCCCTGTTTCCTTTGTCTGAGTTCGGAGACCCTGGCCACCCATATAAACCATACGTCTCTGAACCCGGAGTCCCCGGCAGGAAGTGGTTAACACCTTTTCATTTAGAGAGTCACAAGAAGTCAATATCGGAGCGATTTTCAACGATTTTATTAAAAAATGTTACTTTCATTTTCCTGAACACCCCCGTCCGTTTTATGGTATATTTCTTTCGAAAGTTGTCCAATAGAATCCCCTTCAATGAGCTTGGTGCGCGCATGGCGTGTCGCGTGCACACAGACTCCTGACCAATCAGACCTGATTAAACGGTCTTGTATCCATGTGCCAGCTTCGATTTACTCAGCTGGCATTACAAATGTTAATACATGTAATACACGGTCATGTGACGCGTTTCAATCAACAGGAATAGAAAAAGTATTTTTGACTATTGTTGTGGTTAATTTTACTGATCCCTCAAATGAATTGAATGTTTTAATCCTGACAAATGACATTCCACATATGCATAGTGTACATTGAAGAACCCACAATCAGGCCTGCCAACCCAGCCATACTCCTTCCTGAGGTCAGGCATTACCACACAATAGATTAAAAGGTATTTAAATGAGCCTTCACTTCATTTAAAAGGTCTGCACAATTATACATGTACATGTATGTCTAGAATGCAGAGGAACATTGGACATTACTATCATTTCCGTTGCAGTACTTAATTAGCCATCAGAAAATGATTACATGTCCTAAAAAATTTAGCTGTGAAAATGTTGAACCAACACTTTTCAGACCAGTTTGAAAGGGTCTGTGCACAGGGTGTCAAGTGGTATCCAGAAATGGAACTCTTTCTGTCGCCGAGTCCCCTAATGGGGTTTGGACAACTAGACAGTTTGCCAACACAACATTTGAGGCAACTCGACCATTGAGACAACTCGACCAATGGAAGAACTTGACCATGTACCAGTACAATTGGGACAAAATCATCCAAAGAGACAAGTTGACTCAAAATGAATACGTTTGTACTTTACTTTAACATTACAGTCACATCGCCCACATCTTGTCTTTAAATTAAAATAGAGAAAGGATAAGGGGACAGATTTACCGTCTTCCACTCTTGAAGACTGCATACATGTACGTACAGTAGCAACTGATCCTTGGTGCTGCTGAGGCACCTGTGCACTTCAGATGTTTCTTGCCGATGAGACTGTGAGATAATTCTCATTACCTCACATCTTGGTATTTGCACCTGTTGGTTTGTGACGTCTATCCCATTTCTTCACCCATTACTCCATTTTATTTACTTTTAACTTTTTTTACATTGCTTGATACATGTAGTTTATGTTTCATTCCGATTTATTTGTCGTCCTTATAAAAATAAATCCAACATTTCTAGTTTCTTATTTGATGTAAATCAGCATTGCTAATGTTAGACAAAGATTGAAACATTTATGTGTTTATAATGTGTAGCATTCTCGACTTGCATAATTTTCACGACATAATTTTGGTGTAGTTTGCAGTTGAAACCAGCTGCAAGTAAGGGTTCCACTCAGCAGTGAAGTCAAGGAACTAGAGTTTCAGAATGCAGTCATTTGCAGGGAAAGTTATCCTTATCACAGGTACGCACTTACGTTTACAGTAAGCATGCTCATACCTTTCCACAATGCCTCCATTTACCCCAGTCAAACCCACTTTTTGTTGCTTAATTACACGTGTCTTAGTTGTTGCATCCATCAGTTTCTGCCCTGTGGCTGGTGCATGTATTTATATGCTGGGCTCTGGTGGTCATACCATGAGCTTATGTGGGTCAGTGATTATTTTTTACTTCAGAAATGAAATCCCCAGCCGCATCTTGGGCAGGAAAACCTCCTCAGGGGAAGGGAGAAATGAATAAACATACACTTTGGGTATTTGGAATGTAGTACACATCTGAGGGAATGAACCTTCCAAATGCCAAATACAAACATGGATAGACATCTTTTCATAATGCCGAAAACAAGTTAGTTTCAAATGCTCCAGAAAAAGAATTTTTTCTTCCTCCTTACATGTAAGTTGTCAAGATAAATTTTTTCTTCCTCCTTACATGTAAGTTGGCAAGATGAATGTCTTTGATGTATATGAATTGTGGCACACCCATGATTTGTCCCTAGGGGAGGGGCTTTCCTCCTTAAGTTGTAAAGACGCACGCCCTTAGTGTATATGAATTGTGGCACACCCATGATTTGTCCCCAGGGGAGGGGCTTTCCTCCTTAAGTTGTAAAGACGCATGCCCTTAGTGTATATGAATTGTGGCACACCCATGATTTGTCCCTAGGGGAGGGGCTTTCCACCTTAAGTTGTAAAGACGGATGCCCTTAGTGTATATGAATTGTGGCACACCCATGATTTGTCCCCAGGGGAGGGGCTTTCCTCCTTAACCACTTGCTGTCGGGTGGATTTTTCTTGAGCAAGACAAGATGCCAGGTCCTTTTCAAGATTTTCCGTTTTCAAAATTCTTCAAAAATCCATCATTTCATTTAGTGGCTGTTTATACCAACGTGAAAGACTCTTTGGGCATTACTCTAAAGCTGACAGGTAAACTTCATCGACTCCTGAATATTTCAGCCAGGCCTGCAGCCTTGGAAAAAGAGCCCAGATTTTGCGGTGTTACGTAAGATTCTTTTGTTCCCGAAACCGGCACAGTGCACTGCTGACCTCTTTTCAATAGGGGCCAGATTAGCGTGCAGCGGTGCTGTGGCTCATCGCTGTGGTGGTGGAGAGCTTTTGTCGCTGGTGGTAATCTGCTCGTTCTAAATGCCTCAAACCCTGGTATACTGTTTCAAAAAAAGGCTGGATTATCTCCACTATTGAGAGCCAAAAAATGTCGGTAATGCCCAGCAGCTCAGTCTTTTATGTTGAGCATGGTCTTTTGTTATGAGGCCCAACTCATTTGTCCCAGCTCTGCATATAAAGCCTATGTACCTGAAAACGAGTCGCCCAGCAGGAAGTGGTCAAGTTGGCAAGACGAATGCCTTTGTGAATTGTGGCACACCCATGATTTGTTCCTAAGGGCCGGCGACCATTTAGACATGGTTTGAAAAGGGCCCCCCCCGGTAAGCTTGCCCTGTTGCAAAAACCCCTTTCATACCGGCCTGGCTACCAGCCTGGCTACCGGCCTGG